CGTGGAGCACGGAGAGGAAGAGGAGGAGGAAGTTTGTAGGGGTTGAGCGCGGCCATGGGTGAGAGGGGGGGAGTGTGGGGGGGAAGGAGAAATCAATATCAATAATGCAGGGAGGGTGATGGGATGGGAGAGTTTTCTATTGTACCAGGCGTCATAACAGCAACGTTTCGTCGCGGGTGAAGGAACGCGACTGCCACGGCAAGTTGACGCACGGCCCCTCCCCCCCGTTTCTAGCGCCACGGGGGGACGGTCCACCACCGACCGCCGACCGCCGCCTTGGCCGTTGACCTCAACCTCACAGCAACACCGAGCAGCAGCCCAGCGAGCCTCACGAGCCTTTGCATCCCCCGCACACTGCAAGAGGTACATCTTCCATTTGCAGGCAGACTACTCCTCATATTGCCTCCTGATTCACCCCTCCAGGCGTAAGAGACACGCACACGCACGCACACGATGCAGCCCTCACGAGCCCGCATGGGTCCGCCCAAATATGCGCCGCACCCAAACCACCCCATTCACATCCACCCCGCCCGGCCGCTATATCGCTTCGTGGCAACGGGTCTCGGCGCCTCCATGTGGTTCTTCGTATGTCTGCTCCAGGCTCCTGGGAGGGGTGGGAGACATGTGCTAACAGAAGCAGTTGATGTACCGCGCGAAGAAGGACGGCCCGGTTCTCCTTGGCTGGAGGCACCCATGGGAGCATTGAACGGAGGCATATGGAAAGAGGGAGGCCAGTGGGGATGGTATGGGGGCAGCGCATTATCCCAGGCCGCATGCGATTCCAGGGGCCATTGTAAATATGCGTGCGGCGCAACCAAGTAAAGAAAATACAATGTGCACACGAGACTCTTCGAAAAGAAACGTGGTTGATCTTGATCTCTCCCTCCATTCGCATCACTACCACCACTGGTCTGCTGTCACTAACCCTCTACCCTACTCTGGCTTCTCAAACAAATAATGACTAACCCCCCACGTATCACCCCCATCCCACTTGAACAATTCCGCACACGCCAGATAGAAAACCTGCCACCTGTTCCACCACGTCACCGTACCCTCGTGTCCATACGTCTCCAACAGACCCGGCCAAATCATCTCCTTGTTCTTGCACATGGTCACCAGCCAATCCTCGCAAGTCTTCGCATAGTGCATCCCCGACACCCACCACTGCTTCTTCACCTTTAGATCATCCTGAAAGTACAACAACAAGTCCGCAGAAGGCATCGTCCCGCCCGTGAAAAAGTGCTCCGTCATCCATCCACTTTCAAAATCATACGGGGTGCTGTGATGGGCGAAAATATGCACAAATAGCTTGCCGCCTGGTTGGAGTGCGCGGGATACTTTGGCGAGCAGCGCGGCATAGTTCTTCATGTGCTCGAATAGCTCAATGGAAATCACACGGTCAAAGGCTTGGGCTTCGAATTCAAAGTCCGAGGCTACGTCGCCAGTTATGACGGTAAGATTGGTGAAGCCTTTGGAAGCGGCGACGGAGTCGATGTATTCTTTTTGCGTCCGCGAGTTGGAGAAGGCTGTGATCTGGGAGTTGGGGAAGATTTCGGCAAAGTAGAGGGAGGCAGAGCCCCATCCACATCTTTTGTTTGCGTTAGTACATGTATAGCGGACTGACCACATGCGGGTAGCTGAGGGGTACACGTGATGTTGCAGCGAAGACGTGAGTGGTAGGATGTAGGTGATGGGATGACGAAAAATGAACAACATACCCCAGATCTAAAATCTTCATTCCATCCTTCAACTCCGCGCGTTCCACGTACAACCTCAACATTGCAATCTCAGCCTGCGCCAACGTCTCCCCACCCTTTTCATACAAACAACTCGAATACTTCATCCTAGGGCCCAACATGCCCTTCAACACACTAGTTCCCACTTCATAATGCTGCTCGTTGGCAGTCGAGGTTTCAATGGCAATGGGTCTTTCGCGAAGCAGTTTAACGTAGTTCATCTTAATCTCGTAACTCGAGGTTAGAGAGGTAGAGGCAATGGATTGCAGGCGGTCGGCGAGTTGCCGCCGGATTCCAACGCGAATGATGGGGTGGGGGAGATAGCCGCCATCAAGGAGCGGGTTTACGACTGAGTCGGATGTTATGAGGTCTGTGATCTCATTAGTTGATGCTGATACAAGTGTATTTGGACAGGCTGGGAAAGGATGGGTGTGTATGTACTTGATATGTAGTTCATGCCGGGCAGTCGGTTGATACTACAGATTCTGAGATAGTTCGGACGGGGTAAAGAACCTCCAATTGATCATGTATTGCGCCTCATTGCTGCCTATCGTGACATAGAAGCCATGTTGGTGAGCTTCGGATCACTTTGGTAGTGTGCTGAATGCGGCTTAGACGGCTGTGTGATGACGTCAACGATATCTTTATTGAGACCGAGGGTCTCAATAGAACAGACAGGTCACCAACAATTGAAGAATTATACAAGCTGGACATTGAAGACAAATATCGGGCCAAAAGCAAATTGTCTGTGTTTGGGGAGAAACAACCAATCAACACAAAGCAAACAGATAGCGGACGATCCATATGCATTATCTCCTAGGATAGTGGCCGAAGATGAAGCAGCGGCAGGATGACATCCGCCAATTAGATTTAGAAGCGTATAATATATGTATTACAAGTTAATACATAGCGAAGGAGTTATCTACTCTAGAATACGTCCTAACTTAGCAACATGTATACCATAAACCTATACGTACCGACAAACCAGCCAACTCCAAGCTTGAAGAAGGTTGCGGGTAAGCCGAGCTTCGTCTTTGTGCTTACGCTTTCTCAAGCGGTATTGGTGCCTTTTTCAATTCCTTCTCCGGTTCATCACGATAGTAGCTTGCCTTCCTTCACAAAGGTTCCGTGACGTAAGCGATACCCTGGTCTAGTCCACTACTGGAGATGTGCGTTGCTCACACTCTGCTCCCTCTCCGTGAATTTCCTGTCGACCGCTCAAATCTCGTGAAAAAGTCCTTGCTAAGCGGACTGTTCCATCATTGCCGCCTATCCCGATGACCCTTGTCGCATTATTCGCATCATACCACATCTCTGTTGACTCCATCGATTGGTATCGCATCGCTGGACTGGCAGAGCTACTTAGCATCCACCCATTCTGGTCGGCAATTGCAGTCACTGGTTCTCATGTGCATGACGCCCGTCCTACAGGCTTCTACTAGCCACTTCACCCATTCAGCCTCATGGACTACAAGGCGCCGCAACTCCCCAGTCTCGACTCTCTCTTCTTGTGTCCGTAGCAGGAAGTCGCGGATCTTCAGCGCGTGAGATAACAGAGTCTGAACTTCTTCGTTGGAATGATCGCTTTGCTCCTGCGCTACCAGCACCATACGTTCCAGACGACGCATCAATGCAGCCTGGATATCGCTAGATTCTGCGTATTTGTCGAACAACAGCTTTGCTTGGGCTTTCAACCGGATAGTATCCTCACGCGTGGCTACAGTACATGGTAGGGCCCTTTGCGGTTTTGAGACGTAGAAAGAGCCGACCTCACGCATGACGACCATGTCATTGTAATCGTCTGCGATAGTACTTGCTGTGCTGCTGAAGCTGCTGAAGCTCAAGCTCAACTGTGGATCAATGGCCTCGTTGATGCTCGTTCGTGGCGGGAGCGTAGACGATGGCTTCAGACCGGAGACCAAGAATGGGCTCTGAACCTCGTCAACGGCGGGCTTAGAGGCAGGTCGTGACAGAGCGGCAACCCGATATGGGCCCTGGTCCTCTTCTGGCTTCGCTTCAGTGTCCACATCGGAATTGAAGGATTGCCAAGGCGAATCGCTGTAACTGAAGCCTACTCCTTCACGCTTCCGAGGGATCGGCGACTGCGTAGAATCAATGTTCAAGGAGGAGAAGCTGCGCTTGACGGCATATGGATGTTTGCATTCATCTCCAGTTGGTTGCTGAATTGTCTCAGAGTTCTGGTTTGTCTCGCGCTGACTTAAGCCTGGACTCTTGACAAGCATACGCTTGCGCCTACGTTCACGCTCAGCGTTCTCTGGGTTTTGTAAAGGTATACGACCCTCATAGAATGATGACATCGTAGATTGGATGAAGCTTGGATGAGGACTGGATTGTTGTCCAAGACTAGAGCGTATTACTGATGGCTGCGGCGGCGGTGGATGCTCACTGGATTCGTGGAGCTGCTGTCTTTCGGTCTCACGGTGGTTCCATGGCAAACTTGAAATGGAGGTCGCCTCTGGTTGAACTGCTGCCTGCTTCTCCGCTGGACGCTCATCTGCTCGGTGCTTCTTCGATTGGTCCGCCTGAGATGACTGCTTCTCTATGGAGCGCTTCTGCGTAGACCGTTTCTTGAAGGACTGCACCTGAGCTGCCGCCTCTGCTACCTGCTCAGTTACTGGTTGTACTTGGGTCGACTGCTCTTTTGTGGGCTGCTCCTCTTCTTGCTGCTCAGAAGACTGATCCTCTTTTTGCTGCTCATTAGACTGCTCAGTAAACTGCTCAGGTCCTGAACTTCGCAGTGCTGGCCGCTCATCGATTTGCTGTTCCACACTCAGACATGCAACTGCTGCCTGCTGTACTGGTGGTCTCACATTCATGGGTGATTTCACTGCTGGTTGCTTGGCCACTGCCTGCTCAGCATCTAGTTGATAGGCTGCGTCCTTGTGAACTACGTCTTGTTCATCTGCCGATTTCTCATTTAAAGTAGCCTGCGTACCTGTCAATGACCACAAACCAGTATAAACAAATCGACCTACTGTGATGTCGCGCTCACGCCATCGCGTCGGGCGCTCAGGGAACCGAGAACATGCAGAAACAGTACCAATATTACTGTTCACAAGACTCACTGGCATGGGTGGGGGGATGGGGTCGATGCGGGATCGGTTGTCATAACGGCGTTGCGCTCCTGCGCGAGATCGCTATTATTTGTTAATTTGTGTTCATATGATAAGAAATGGTTATTTACAAGCGGAGCCATATATTCTTGTGAACTTGTGTTGATGTTGATGTTGATGTTGATGTTTACCAAGTCATGTGTCAGTTGACATGCAAGGGTAGGGGTGGAAGAGTGGGGTGGTTGCAGGCTGCAGCGCCGTGAGCTCAAGGATGGAGGGGTTAATATATCCATAGGTGCTGCAGTCCGAGAGAAAAGTGAATGTCCGTTTGTATGTTGCATCGAGCACTGCCTGGTCCATGTTCGCTCATGGCGCGCGTGAAACGCGTCGAGGTCACTAGGTAGTTAGCGCGTCTACCGGTACCGGTACCGTAGCCCCGATGCGTAGATCTCAGCCTATGAATTCACGAAACCCTGTTGTTGCTTAAACACCCCCAGATTGTACAAGACCGCAGAAGATTGCAGAAACAATGAAGACAGGTCGATTCCGCACTCCTTGAACGGTTTTTTACTCTTCATGTACCGCTACATATTGGCATTATCATGAGCACATTCGCGGCACGAATGGTACAACCATCAGGAGTACTGTGGGGCTTCAGAGTAATGCGCTTGCAGACTTCCCTGGTTTACTTCTTGCTATTCCCTAACAATTCGACCCCTGTTCTCACTATCCCAATCGCTGCACCAGTCTGTATGGCTTCACTTCCACCGCCACTAAGTCTGTACTCAATGTCGGCCAACCCAGACATCCACGTCACCATGACTTGAGGCGGAACATCATTTGTCACCAACTCTTCGCTTATCGCGGTCAAAATGTCTGCCAATGCTAATCCTTTCGAAATCTTGAGGTTGTTGACAGTTCGCAGGCATTCGGTCATGTCGTTCTTGGACAGTAGTGTCTCTATGATGTACTTGATGTCTGACGGATGTGGCGCTGCGATACAGTCGTAAATGGTGGTTTGTGTGATTTGGTCCCGCACAATGATGCTGGGGTCAGGTGCTGGCTTTCCAGGAGCTTGAAGTGGCGTACTCGATGCGTGACATGCTTGTAACACATTCAGTGCCCGTCGCATGTCTCCTTTACTGAGAGAGACCAATGAGTCTGTGGCGTCTTGCGTGATATTGACGTTCTCCTCCTCGATAACCTTATCTACCAGGTTCCGGATGTCCTGATCCTTGAGTGGCGAGAATCGAAACCGTGTGCATCGGGACAGCAGGGCGGGCGACAGCTTGTGGGTATAATTGGCGATGATGCAAAATCTAGTGTTTGCCGTATACTTCTCCATGATTCTCCGTAGTGCCATTTGTGCCGTGGCAGTCATAGCATCCGCCTCATCCAGAATGATAAGCTTGAATGTTGCAAGCGCCGTGTCACCAGCCTTTGGTGCTGCAGAGAAAATCTGCTTTGTGCTACTGAACGTCTTGATTTGCTCTCGCACCACATCGATACCTCGGTCGTCGGAAGCATTCAGCTCCAGTACCATCTGTCGCATGTTCTTGTTTCCATAAATGCGTCTTGCCAGGGCGAGAACCGTTGAAGTCTTGCCAGTTCCTGGAGGTCCATAGAGAAGGAGATGCGGCAATCGCTACGAAGAGTTACAAGGGTAGCCAATAGGAACATAATCCAAACGTACATTCGAATCAACAAACTTGTTGATTGTGGCTATTATGTCCTGATGACCTTCGACGTCGTCTAGTGAGTTCGGCCGGTATTTCTCCACCCTGTTGATCATTAGTACCGGCTCAAGGACTGGTTGGGAAAGCCCATACCATGGTAACGAGTCTTCTGCTTCTATAGGGAGGTTTGCTGCAGTCCTTTTGCCTTTTTTCTGGTCACCACCAAAAGAGATGGGATTGTCTACAGCGGGGGCATCCACATCCATGTCATCTTCAAAGTCTGACATGGTGATGCTTGCCACTGTTTATATCGTTGGATTGAATTGACGGTTTTTGAGTGAAGGCGTGGTGTTGGAGCGGTGTATTTTTTATAGCTACATGAAGTTTCCCAAAGGTAGGTCGTTGCGGTAGACGCGCCGCGCGCAGGGGGACGCGTTAACGTCAACGTTAATTGGGGAACTGTGGCTTAGGTAACCCCCCGCCATTCAGCCCTACGAGCACACCTCACTTGTGGAGCGGAGCTACATCTTCACCTCCGACGAGCTCACCGTAGCCGCCAAAGATCTCAAAAATGCCTGTACGTATACTGCACATTGCCATTCTCAGACAAGGACATGGCTTTCAATGTGTATCATGAGACAATCCAAGTAGCTCACCCTCCGCCAGGCCTACCATTCCGTCTTCCTCGATGAGCCCAACCAGCAGCTCATTGGTAATTGACCTTCTCTTCATGCGTCGTGAAGGTTTCTGACCACATTTCCTCCAACAGGAAACTTCGCACTCCTTCCTCTTCGCACACGAACACGTGGCCCGGCCATCCAATTACCTGCCCTCCCCGCCGATGTCACAGAGCTCACCATTGATGCCTCACACGAGTCGTACGATCCACTGGATGAAATAATCGCTCTCTTCCGCGCCAACACATTCTTCCGCAACTTCGAAATCAAGGGTCCTGCAGATAGGGTGCTGATTTATGGCATCTTGTACGTGAGTGAGGTATTGAGCAAGATCAAGCCGAGTATGGGACGGCGGGAGGCTGAGAAGGTAGGCTGCTTCGAAAATAAACGCTCGCAAGGCCACTTTTGTTGCATTGCTCACTATATCAACAGGCTGTCATGAATCTCGCGCTCGACACCAACTTTGCGATCCCAGGCGATGCTGGATTTCCACTAAACCAAGCTTTTGAGCCGCCGCCGGATAGGAACCAGGCGGAAGTGCTGCGACAGTACATTATGCAGATGAGACAAGAGCTGGCAACAAGATTACTGAACAGGGTATATGCAGATGAAACCAACACACCCAGCAAGTGGTGGCTGAGCTACACAAAGAGGAAGTTCATGGGCAAAGCATTGTAGTGCAGAGGACGAATACCTTGAGCGGAACTGCAAAGTAGTGATACAAGATGAACGCCACAAAGTACATCAAGAAAGAGTATATGTCATCCTGCCTCAATTTGCTCGTTCAATGCCTGTCATTTTCTTGACCTCGATGATTGTTCCGTGGTGACTCTGCTCGCTCTTTCCTTATTCAACGCTTGCGTCACACGCTTAATATTGTGACACGTTTTTGAGACAGCAAACGCTCAGAGTCCGTGTCCTGTGGAAATTATCTTCGTTAGCTCGATCTTCCTCGTTAACATTCGACAACATTACCCATAATCCAAAGTCTACATACTATCGCTAAGAGCTATGCGCAAATCCTGGCTCCCATCATTTATGAGCAACAGTCCTAGCGCAGCACCGCAACAGGGTGAGATAGTCTCATACGAGAATCAAAGTCATAGAGGCGCTGACAATTTGACCAAGCTGCTGATGATGACGACTGGTCCGACGTCGCGTCAGTCGACGAAAGCCTCGGTGGCTCCAAGGGGAGCAACAGGTTGAGCGACGGTAGCATCGATGCGGAGACCAAGGCCAGGACATCATCGAACAGTACATTGACTCCAAGAGATTACCTGCCTCTCTAAGCTAATCATCGCAGTACCTAGTATCTTCAGCACCGCTCTCCCCCCTTGTGGCATGCATCCTCAATGTGCATTCGAAAACGTAAACAACCGTCTCCGCAAGCTCTGGCTCCGACAGTCCCATAATAACCCTGCTATCAATATGTCCACCGTAGACATCTGTAAGCTAGTGCACGATGAACTAGAAGCAGAAGACAAAGAATTTCCGCAAGGTACCCTGACACTCGCCAAATCGCGTCGACCTTGGCGTCTGGAAAGCGTCTTCAAATACGAATTGCTTTGGTCAAAGTGGTTCATCCGCGAGGCAGAGATCCAGGAGCGGCTGTCTGGCATGGATTCAGGGGAACGCGAGATTCAGAACTTAATGGATAGAATGTATCCTATGCCGAAAGAGCTGTGCTTCGTCAAAAATAGGGCCAATAAGAAGGGCATACACGCACTATGGTTGGCTTGGGCTCGTGGCAAGCGTGGGTGGCTACCGCTTGATGAGTCGCTTGATCTACCCCTCACAATGGAGAATGTGTCGCTGGGAGGGACTGTCAGGGAGCCATGGGCAGATATGGACCATTCTTGTCATGGCTCAGAGAACAGCCAGATTTTGGAACCAGCACTTGCCACCGATGCGCGAGAGATGTAGGAAGCTCATTGCCAGACTTCATAGTTCAGTGCAGCGTCTGTGTTATGACAGGATAGTCGAAGCTATGACACTACATGGCGTTTGTACAAGTACTCTTTGGCATCTAAGTGTCGGAATACAATTTGAGGAATCTTCAAGGCGAGGACGTGCATTACATTTGCTTCTTAATTGTTGACATTCAAGGAGACCAAACAAGCAAACAACGTGAGTGTTAATGCATGGTTCCAAAAATGGAAGTATATGAGCATGTTAACTTTCCAAACACGCATGTTTGTACAAGGTTTTACAGTACCACTGAAAGAACAGTTATGCATTATTAATTATGCGGTGTCAATTCTGTATATGATATATGCATATTGGGTGAGAACAAGCGTAGGTGGAAGCTGTCTTTGCCCAGTAGAACCCTCACCTTCACCGCCCGCCCAGAGTTTCTACTTCTCTTCACCTTCCTTGCCCCTCTCACCTCCATTTTTAATTTTACAGCAAATTCATTAATTCTCATTCAAGTCTTGTTACATCTTTCCTCACAACGACAACTGCCGTTCGCTTCTAAAGCAGCATCGCTCGTACCCTCATCGCTACAGGCCAGTTAGCTATCGGCTTTCTTTCATCGGAAACACCTCGATCTGATGTGAATCCCTCTTTTTCTACCCCGAAAACTTTCCACAAACTAACACAGGCAAAAGAAAACTCCCCATCAGGTCCACTATGCCAATCAAATGGACGGCCGAATTGGATGCCATCGTAAGTATATCAGCGTTTATGCTTGACTGGGATTCCTTCTGGGTGAACTAACACCAAGGCAGCTTCTCCATGGGGTGTTCGAGGAATGCAACATATCTTTCAGCAAAGCCCTGTGCGCGAAGATCGCTGAGCGCGTCCAAGCAGCTGGCATGGGTATGTGGGATATTCCACCTCTCACTTCTGGTTCATCCGGCTCTTAATCTAACCCGTATGACACAGAATGCTCTGCTAAGGCCGTCGAGAATCGCCTGTATACATGGAAGAAGAAAAACATATCTGGCAACACCAACCTGAACGCCAGCACCAGTAACACCCCCACGAAGCCTGCTGCCAAAAAGACCTCCACGCCCAAGACCCCGCGTGGTCGAGCCAAGACGACACCTAAGAAGGTGGTCAACTACGACAATGGCACCGAAGGTCCCATGGACGATGATGAACAGTTAATGTCGCCTTCTGCAGCTCGTGGCAAACGTGCGCTCAGCAGTGCCAGCAAAGGTTTCTCTTACGCTGAACCTGACAGTGAGCCTGACAATGCCGATATCCTTTCTTCAAAGCGTGTCAAGGTCGAGCTTGTTGAGCCAGAGTACAGCTTATTCGAAGCTTATGCTACACATGAGCGTTCAGGATAGGAAATCTAGGTGTTGCAAGACTTTGGAAGTATTGGTTTGACACCAGTGCTTCTTCTATCATCCTCTCCGTCTGGGATCACTCGGGGGTCAATTTATCTGCGATTTTTGAGGGTTTACATGATAGCAGCTTTAATCTATAGCAGCGTTGTGTCGGAATCATGCATGCAGTAGCGCATCTTGTACTACGGTGCAACGTATAGTAGAGGCTCCCCCGTAAGGCCACGCCTTTGCTTTAAATTCATGGATTTGCTGCACGTACTACCGCATACTATTTGGATTTCCTTCTGTGCCATTGAAACCGAGCATATCGGATCGTTTCGCCCGAATGATGTCGCTTAAGCTCATATCCACCTGCATTTTCCCTACACATTCACCAAAGGGAATTTGATAATCGATGAGGTTGCGCAACATAAAATACAGAACAACCACTTTTCGGACATGCAAGGCATAAAAGCAATTACCTCTAACCATGTTGTGCGCGATGGCGAGATTAGCAGCAGGTTCGCAGATCGAAGTTGCTCGTTCCGGATGACGTAGGTGCGATCGATCAACTTGCAAGCGGCGAAGCTATGTTCCTAACCTGCTGCAAGCCACGGTCTAGGTCATAGATCTAGTTCTGGAAATCGCACCTTGATTCGAATTCGACCTCTTCAGTCCTCACACATGGCTATCACGACGATGATGCCTACAACAATACTGTCCCCGCGGACAACGAGAATGATCTGAGCGAGCGCCGCATGTGACGACCAACCCGTCATGGCACCGCCATTGGATATGACGCTGCGCTTCAGCAGATCGCAGAACGAGATGAAGTCATTACAGGCCGTTGGGATACTGGATTATCTGGAACAGGACTCGCGACCAACATTCATCATAGACACAGAAAGTGCAGTTTACAACCTTCAGGGCATGGTGATTCCGTCTTATACCAATCCAGCCATGGCGAATATTGACTCTGGAAGCCTGCTGAATGCGCCCGTCAGACCTAGCGCGCTGGATGCCCAGGAAGAAATTGATATGGACTTTTCACAATTCCGCAAATGGGTTTTCAATACCAAATCATCAACTCAACCTTTCACCTACCGTGACTTCAACTGGCTGATATTTTGTGTGGCAAATCGATGGAGCGTCATAAGCGGAACCCCTTTGAATTCGGCGCGTCTGGACAACAGCATAAATATTGAAAGACGCGTATTGGAGAGGACAACCTCAAGATCAAAAATCCCCACATTTGACTGGACCGATGAACTTCCTCCTCTACGTTTATCAGCACATGCATCATGGGCTCGCAGCATAGATTGGGCTGCGACATCATTGGGACCCATGTCTTCATGGTCGGCCCAGCTCCGCAGCATTGCCAATCTCGTTATGCAGGATCCCCGACCTGCAGTTGTATTCTACGGGCCAGACCTAATTATGATTTACAACGAGGCAGAAATAGAACTTCTTGGTGGTTTTCATCCATGCATGGGCAAGAGCGCTCGTGTAGCTCTCGCTCCAGTTTGGCCTGAGTATTTCGAGCCAATCATCCAAAAGAATCTGGAAGGCGAAACAGTTGAACAGACGAACACAGCCATTCACATGGTGAGGTCGGGGTTCCTGGAAGAGACTTATTTCTCGCTCAAATTCATTCCGATATTGGATGCAGACGGCGCAACAGTCGGGCATTATGAGCCGCTCGTGGAGACAGTAAGTCCAAATTTGACTTTCCTCTCATCTTCTTTCTCTCATTACAAGCGAACAGCAGGTGAAGTAGAAAAGTTACATCTCACCCATCAGTACGATTATTTGTGTGAGAGCATTGCGCCTTAGTCTATGCTATGACATGCTTCCGTCGTGATGCTTTGACACCTAAAGACAAGAAACTCTGGGATTCACGTTGCTGACAGGGCTTAGACTCGAAACGTGATTGCACAAAGAAGATCTCGTACACTCTTGGAGATAAGTGAAGAGTTACCACGAGCACGTAACTCCGAATCGTACTGGCCTCTCGCAGTTGAGGTTTTATCGCGCAACGACAAGGACATTCCATTTGCTTTACTTTACGCTGCGGAGGCAGAATCAAGCAGTTCTTCAGCATCGAGCTGGACTCGGTTTTCAGACACTCAGCAACAGTGTAGACTTCGCGGTTCTTTCGGTCTACCTCTAGGCTCACTGGCTGGTCCAGCGCATCTCGACTTCCGACAGGACTATGGCTTCTCTCCATATTTCAGAGAAGCAATGGTTGCACGAAAGCCTATCACAATCTCACTCCAACCCGGTTCACCAGCCGCCGAGCTTGTGAAGGGAATACAATGGCAAGGATTCGGTGATCCGTGCCGCGAAGCTGCTATTTGTCCTTTGAATCCTACTTCATCGACAGATAATATACTTGGATTCATGGTCATTGGATTGGTATGTGACGCAAATAACAACCTTTGTGCGATGTCTACTTTAACTTTTGAGAGAACTTTACCCCTTCTTCCATGTATCATGACTCCTGCCCAGGGCAAATGCAATCTGATCTGTTCATTTTCACTAACGCCTTTAGGTATGTCAAACCCACCGCATAAAGACTTTGGGCTATCCATAAGACATTGATTTTTTTTTCTCCAGAAAAGGTACTAACCAGTATGTGTTCCTTCAGAACCCGCGACGACCCTACGATGATGACTATCTTCAATTTATACTGGTCACTAGTCGATTATTGTCAACATCCTTGACATCTATCTTGCTCCACGAAGAAGACCTTGGAAGACGCGAAAGGACGATTGCCAATGCTGAAGCTATGAAACAAGAACTCAGACAGCAGCTCCTGGAGTCACAGAATGAACTAGAGCGAAGTTTGACAAAGTTTCAGCGCTTTGCCGAGCGTGCTGACATTGGGATTTTTATACTTGACATGGAGGGAATCTATACATACCGAAACAAAGCGTGGTATGATATATGCTCGCCTGGAGATCGAGACGTTGACCTCGAGGAAGCCTGGAGCCTAATTGTTGACTCCGAATACCATGAAATGGGCCAGGCCAAGTTTGCAGCGGTTGTTGAGGAGAAAAAGCATCAGTATGGTTGCGCTGCGTTCAGGAACCCTTGGCAATTCTAACCTTATCAGGGTATTTGAACTGCGACTGACAAGGACTTGGACTGTAACTGGCAAGAACTTGGACGACTCCCTGTCGAATCAACAGCCCATGTGGGTGATATGTTCTATTTTCCCCGAGCTCAACGAAGAGGGCGCCGTAATCGAGATCATTGGATGTATCACGGATATAAGGTGTGCAATCTATCCATCGCACTTCGTCTATGCTCATACTATGTTCAGCCAGCAAAAATGGAGTGAGAAGCTCCAGGAAACACAAGCTCTAGACTCTCAGGAATCCAAGAGGTATGCTGTGCAGACTTTGCTTGAGATATCTCCTTTAACACCTCATTAGGCAACTGGAAAATTTCATCGACACTACCTCGTAAGCTCGATATAGGCAATCTACAAAGTCTGTAATATTCGAGTCTAACTTGTGTAAAGTCATGAGATGCGTAATCCATTATCTGCAATTTTGCAATGTGCCGACGTAACCTTACCCCCTCTAGACCCGCGACCATGCTAACATTCCTACAGAGCATTATAGCCTCACATAGAGATTGCAAAGATTCTACTGGTTACCAGCATATTTACCGGAAGATTGTAGAATCGACTGTGGAATCTGCAGAGACCATCGTACAATGTTCGAAGCACATGAAGACTATTGTGGATGGTGAGTTCATTACTAAATATGTCCGTGTTTTCGAGCCTAGAGGCTGACCTGATAGATGTGCTAACCATGTCTAAACTGGACTCCGGCCTCTTTGTCATGACACCCACCGTGGTCCAGCTAGACTCGATTGCTCGAGATGCCGTGAGGATGTTCGAAGGCGAGGCAAAGGCTGCTGATGTTGACCTAAAGTTCCGCTTGGAGGACTCATTCAAGTCGGTCAACGTTAACGACGTTTCGCTCGATCCAACAAGGGTGCTTCAGATATTGATTGTTTGTTCGCCAATGAATACTCTCACTGTCCTACGCTAAGATATATACAGAACTTGATCACAAACGCAATCAAGTTTACCCGACTTGAAGATAAGCGCAAAATAAACATAAGTCTTGGACTATCTCTCCAAACCCCGCTTTACAATGCCGACGGACACGTGCAGTTTATACGTTCCGCTGAAACTGCTGAGGCCCAGGCTCTACAAGCCGATTGGGAGAAGGGAGAAGTTGCAAGTGATGTCATATAAATCATCTCGAGCTTTCCGCTGACACGAGCCAGATACATGTCATCTTCACCGTCCAGGATACTGGCCGTGGCTTGAGTGCTGCTGAACACGAACTCATGTTTGCCCGCTTCTCCCAAGCATCACCACGCACACACATAGACTATGGTAACTGTGAAGCACCAATACCGGATATTTCCTCATGGCTAACTGTAACTTGAAGGTGGCTCCGGCCTAGGCTTATTCATCTCCCGCCGTCTCACAGAGATGCACGGTGGAGCCATTGGCTTTGCCTCCACCAAAGGAGTCGGCAGTACCTTCTCCTTCTACATCAAAGGCCGCAAAATCCGCCTTCGCTCGCCCACGGGCGAACGCAACACCGCCGTCGACATGAGCCTACGCACCCAATCCACCATCCTCGACAACAGCCGCACCCGCAACGCAAAGGACGAACCCAGCCACCCCCAAACCCCAACAGCCCACACCACCACCACGCCTCAAGTCCCCGCCCAAGCTCTCCACATCCTCGTCGTCGAAGACAACCTCGTCAACCAGCGCGTCCTCGCAAAACAGCTGCGCAACCTCGGCATGCACGTCACCGTCGCCAACCACGGCGCCGAAGCCCTCGCTCACCTCCGGACCACGCGGTACTGCGCCGACGATACGTCTGCCGCCAATCTCTCCCTCATCCTCATGGACTGGGAAATGCCCGTCATGGATGGTCTCACATGTGTCCGTCATATTCGCCAGTTGGAAATCGAGGGCGTTGTACGCGGCCATGTGCCTGTTATTGCCGTTACGGCGAATGTGCGGTCTGAACAGGTTCGTTTTTTTCTTTGTTTGCTCCATCTCTTGTATGACGCGGATGTTGGTACAGCAGACTAATATCCCAACGCGATTCTAGGTCGAAGTCGCGCTCAAGGCCGGCATGGACAATTTAATCTCCAAGCCGTTTAGGATACCGGAGCTTTGTGCGTGCATGCAGAAGACGTTGGAGGGGATTGGGGGGTAGATGGAGTTTGGGAAGAGAGATGTGTGTGGAAGAGGGGGAGTGGGAAGAGGGGGAAGAGAAGTGTAGCTCTGTAATGCTCGTGAGAGGTGAGAAGAGGGCGCAGTGAGTAATCTTTTCAAACTTCTCTGCCAAAAAAAACCCCCCCCCCCACTTTTTTCACAATGATGCAGATTTCCAATATATATAGTTCTCTCTATATATATATTCTACACTACTAGCTCACAGCCCGTCCCGTCACGACTTGATCTAAATACAACCACAACATCAAAAACCCCAACATACATTCCCGAATAAAAAGCGCAGACCAAATCGTCCCCCAACAAAACCAAGACTGCTCTACATAGACCCTTGCCCTACCTAACTAATAGCTATACGGTGTAAACCCATCCATCTCCCTCCCAAACACCCCCCCCCCTATGCGACAACATCAGCATCTACACTTGCTGTATTACGCTGTGCGTATATACTTAGACGGCGACGGCGACGGCGACGGCGACAGTACGGTGTTTTCACAACGAAAGGAAAAAAAAGGGGGTTGGGTTGGTTAGTTGGAGGGGGAATGGGAGTGTGCGGTGTAGTTGGGTGTGGTATAGTCTACTCGTTTCCAACAAGGTGTACATCACTGGACTCGATTTATACCTGTATATTTTGACAGGGCGAATATTGCACCTCGTTGCAAAAGCGTGCGTGTATTACTCTTATTTTTCCACAGCTGTTTACAACACACCATGCCAGGGCGATGGAACCCGACTTTTTAATCTTTGTCTTGGAATGATCACCTCCCTCAATGCGTCTACTCTTGCTGCGACATGTGCGTTGGGAAGTTGTAATCCGTGTAATCAATGTGCACGAATGCGCGGTCGACATAGGGTACACTTTCTAATACATCGTTAGCAAATGGGAACCTGGTGCACGAAAAAGAGGGAATAAAAGAAGAAACTGCAGGGAAGAGGCGAGATACGCAAACTTACCAAGAACATACTGCAACGACTCGCCAAGATCGTGGCTATCTCTCAGACTAATGTGTTCGTCCACCACAATGTCGACCTCGACATTCAACTTGTCACCTGCGTGATACGCCTGCAGACCCTGGATCCGCTTGATGCTCTTTGCAAACCGCATCGTCATGTAGAGCAGAATATTGCGCTCGTCGGCCGTCGCACTGGCGCCCGTCAAGTTGCGGATGTGCTCTGCAGAGGTGCGGCTCCAGTTGATGATGACGTATGCGGACAGCAAGATGCCGCCGAGGGAGTCGAGCCACCAGATTTTGAAAAAGTAGCCGACGAGGGGGAAGAGGATGGAGAAGGTGTTGAAGACGACGTCGGTCATTGCGTCTTGGGCGAGCGCTTGAACCGACGAGTTGCGGATGAGGCGGCACCAGAGCCAGCAGAGGCCCTTGATGACGACCGTGCACGCCATGATTGCGACGGCGGGGATGGTGAGCTCGACGACGGTGTGGTCGGAGCCGGAGAGGCGCGAGAGACCTTCGATGCCGACTTGGAAGAAGGATGTCATCATGATTACGGAGAAGATGAGCACGCCAATGGGCTCGAGACGCCGGCGACCTACAGGGTAGGCGTAGCGGTCTTGACGCGCAATCATCCAGCTGGTGAACCAGACAATGGCCGTAGAAAGGAAGTCGAGTGCAGCGTCGACGAGGGAGGCGAGCACGGAAAGGGAGGAAGTCATGACTGCGACGACAATCTTCATGATGAGAAGAATGGTGTTTGCAACGAGGTTGACATAGAGGGCTAGCTTTACAATGGGGGATTCCGTGTCTTCATCTTCTTCTGGAACCCAATCCTTTAGCTTCGCATTATGGACGGAGTCTTCCTCATTCTCATCATCATCTTCATCTTGGATGGCATCGTCGTGGGAGATCAAAGGCGTGTTCTCGTCGGGTTCTGGGACTTTGTAGAGATTCTTCGGTGTGCGCTTGACCATGGGTTTCGGGGCGCCGTTGGTGCCCATCGGAGTACCGTTTGTGCCATAGTTGTCCGATGAACGACTGGAGGGGAGGAGGCTTCCCGCCTCGCTGGTGAAGCCTGGGGTACTATTGCCTGGGGTTGGGATGGGACTTATGGTCGCGGAGGATTCCTCGGTGATGGTGGTGGGAATCTTGACGGTGCCAGATTCGAGGTTTGTGTATTCTTGAATCAAGTTGTGTGGCAGGGACGAGTCGAGCAGGCGATCGATGTAGAGGTAATTCTGGATGAGTTGATTGTTGCGCTCATAGTACTCGCGTCTGCATGCGGATTAGCAGAGACGCAGAAGCGATCCAGTGTTGTACCTGCATTGCCTTTTTCATCGTCTTGAGCTCCTCGTCACTCTTGAAATATTTTTCCCTTGACCGCAGGTTAGCATCATGGCCAGCCAACAGTACAGTCTGGTACAAAGAAAGGGCTCACCATTTGTATCGGGGATTGGAATTACCAATCAGCCTTTGACTTCTCATCTGCGGCGTGTTCAAGGCATGCGCGCCCGTGCTGCTTCGACGATCCGTGTCTCTGTCATAGGGCATGAAGAGGCCATTCTGCCTGAGGCTCTCGAGGTCTTCCTCGTCGGTCTCGCTGCCCCTGCGTTCATTGCTGCGAATGGTGGATGGGCGACGCGACAAGAGTGTGGGTAGGTGCTGTCCTCGCGTGGACAAAGCAGACGAGTCGGCCAGTGGAAGGAACAGCTTGGAGCTAGCGAGGCGTGGTACACTTGACGAGCGGGGCATGTGACCTGGCGATGTTGCCGACTTGGGTGAGGGATGGTCTGCCATGGCTGCTGCTTCAATCTTCTTTGCTCCGAGGGAGAGCGTTTGGCAATGGTGCCAAAGCCAATGATTCCCACAGGTCTCGTCGCGTGTCTCGAGTACGGAGGCACAGAAGGACTGGCGATGATGTCTGCATGCAGGAAAGCAATTGCCCCAGGCTTGGCTTGATCTTATCTGCCGCGTCTCAAGGCGAGCGCCGTAGTAGGCAAGTGACGGACGGACGGACTGGCTGACTGTATGTATGTATAGCGCAGTGCAAGGCAGCTATATCGGCTCAACGCAGTTGGATGAACTGAGATGCCTAGCCTATCGTAAACCAGGTATCATCAGTCCACTGCGCGAATGTGAAAAACAAGTAAACAAAATAAACAAAGCCACGGTCATGAGGCGATTGCAGCGCGGCGCAAAGCTCTCAAACACATGTTGGACAAGTTGGAGGCAAGGTGGTGGGGTCGCGGGTGCATGCGAAAGAAGGTGGATGCGACGCGCAGATTCGCCGATGCGGAGACGTTTGTTACGGCTTTTTTTTTTGTTACGTTAGCCAGGAAGCTTAGCACAAAGTAACCTATGTGCCCTACTAGCCAACCCTACCGACATGAGGAACGTGGGCTGGGTTGCAGGCTCCGAGGCTCCCATCCATGAAAAACGCTTGGAAACCAGCGGCAGGCTGACCGTAAGTCTTGCCGAATCCAACAAGGGTCTAGGTACTAGTTAAGCGACCTTCCGCTTCCTCTTCCTCTGCCTCGTCCTCCTTGTCCTTGTCCTCGTCCTCGTCCTCCTTGTCCTTGTCCTCGTCCTCCTCCTCCTTGTCCTTGTCCTCGTCCTCGTCCTCGTCCTCCTCCTCGTCCTCGTCCTCGTCCTCCTTGTCCTTGTCCTCGTCCTCGTCCTCCTTGTCCTTGTCCTCGTCCTCCTCCTCCTTGTCCTTGTCCTCGTCCTCGTCCTCGTCCTCCTCCTCGTCCTCGTCCTCGTCCTCCTTGTCCTTGTCCTCGTCCTCGTCCTCGTCCTCCTCCTCGTCCTCGTCCTCCTCGTCCTCCTCCTCGTCCTCCGCCGCCGCCGATCGTTGGGCGCGAGTTTGGTCTCATGTGTTTCATGGCTTCTGGGCCCCGGGCGTCTCTGGCTGTGCATTGGGATGCTTGGCAATACTCGAGACAAGTGACCCGATGATTCACTTCCTGAGTCGTGACCACTTTGCTCACCCCCTTCTGCTTCAGCCAGCCAGCCAGCCAGCCAGCCTACATACAGTACAGACAGGGTTCATCACTACCCACTCGTGCTAGCCCCTCATGCTAACCCCCCATCGCAATCATGAGACAACAGCGTTGTTGGATCACTTGAGGTCAACAGACTCCCTTTTACATGCCTAGCATCCCCTTTGATGAGACATGAGTAGTTAGTAACCTTTTTTACACTAATGTACTATACAACACCCATCAACACACACACACACCTGCACCCACACACACCAAACATCTACTTTCTACCCTTGTTCGCCTCCCACCTGCCAACCGCCTTGCTAAACAAGTCCCGACACGGCACTCGACTCCCCAACTTGGCACACAGCAAGAAAGCGCCACTCAGCTTCCTGTGCAAACTATACGTCTCCTCGGGTGGCGGCGCCAGCCGTTCCTTGACCATGACGGGAATCAATCCTCGCACCCTGTCCGTAATCGTCTGATCCCTGAAATCGTACACCTCGGGGCTTGATCCGCTAAACGGCTCTGCGAGCGTGAGTACGGATTGGATGTGTGCCTCGAGCATCGCTGCACTCTCGCTGCCAGTCAGATAGCCGAGCTCGAGGGACTGGTCGCGAATCCCGGCTTTATCGCCTCTGGATGCGGCCATGAGCACCTTGATATACGGCTCGACAAATTCCTCGGCGTACTCTCTGCTCGCGCCAAAATCGAGAAGCTCAATCTTCTGCGCCGAGGCGTTGTAGAGAAAGTTGGTCCAGTTGGGGTCCGTTTGCATGAACTTGAACTCGACAATTTCACGGAGGCAGAGGCGTAGGACTTGCGTACCAATCCAGTCGCGTTGGTCTTGGCTCAGGCTCTTGATCTTAGTCACGCCAGTGCCTTGCATGAATTCTGCAGTGAGCACCGTGGGCCCACAAGCCTCAGGGAAGACCTTGGGGACAGTGAAGACAGCTGTGTCATCTTGGAGGAGGTTGCGAAATCGCGTTTGCGATTCGGCTTCGCGCACGTAGTCGCATTCCCATCCGAGTTCTGTCCGCGCATTGGCAATCGTCTTGTCCAAATACAAGCCTTTGGGTAGCAGGCGAGATGCAGTCAGTAAGATGGAGAGGTTGCTTAGATCCGAGTCGATCGAATTGGCCACCCCAGGATATTGGATCTTGACAGCGACGGCCTGGCCCGTAGATTTTAGCACTGCTTTATGTACTTGACCAATGGAAGCTGCTGCAATCGGTACATCGCCAAACGATTCGAAAAGATCCCGCCAATCTTCACCGAGGTTTTGAGCCAACACCTTGTTCCGCTGTGATGCGGGCATGTAGTCTGCGCTGTCCTGTACCCTTTGGAGGACGTCATGGATCGCAGGCGGTAGCATCTTGATGTCTGCTGCTTGTGAGCACAATAGATGTGGTCGCAGCTCGTCCTTACGTACCTTGAAAACTGATCATTTGCCCAAGCTTCAAAGCCGCACCTCGCATACGCGATAGCTTAGCTACCAAGATCTCCAGGTTACCAGGGCTCAGCATAAGAGAGCCTCCGCTTGATGCAGCACTGCCTGTGGCACGTCTTAGGCCTTCGCCAACTGCCCCAAGAGCCATACTGGTACCCAGACCGGCGTATTGCCATAGCCGACCAAACCGCGATGATGGCACCCTCGACTCTCGCAACGCGTATGGCGTTGATTCTGGCTGGCTGCTTATCTCGGCGGGTGTCTATGGTAAGACTGTCAGCAAATCAGCATGCTTCACGCATATGCATATTTGGGCACGATGAGCTTACTTCAGAGCTAGCTGCGGCGTTCAGTTGGACATCTTGAGCGAGTTTCGAGGCAAAGTCTTCCATGTCTTTGGTATTAGAAGAAAGCTGAGCCTGAGACAAAGTCCTAGATTTGATTGATGAATTGACTTCAGGTAACGGTCGATCATCTAACGGATGTCTGCCAGTAGTTTTCGGTAGTGGCCTGTCATCGAGGGGGTGTCTCCCAGATCCTTTCCGTTCAGCATACTCCTTTCTCGAAAAGGGGTCAGTTCCAAGCATTCTCGCTACCTTTCTCGAATGAAAGACATCCGTGTTAATTCCCTCTGGAACTTCGTCCTTCATCTCTTTCGCCTGCTGCTGCTCTGCTTTTGAAGGAGAATAAAACACATCCTGGTTGAGCTGACCATCTTGAACATGCTCATCACTTCCTTGTTGAGTACCAGTGTTTGCTGGTATCTGGACAGGCGGCTTGGGGGACACAGGCGGCTGCGACTCGACCGATCTCGAGTAAAATACATCGCGATCATGACCCTCCTGAAGCTTCCTTAACTGTGTGGGGATGGATGGGTGTTGGACATCGGTCGCATGTGCAGGTATTGTTTCTGCTGCTTGTGACGACGAACCAGCTGGCCGGTCGGGAAGAGGGATGGTCGACTCGGTGGACTCCTTTGGCCTTAAGCCTTCGCTGCTTGTGCCTGTCGCTCCACCATGATCTTCCTCCAAAGGTTCCTTTGGCGCCTCAGGTACTGGCCGCTCCGAAAAAGTATCCTGTCCTCTCTCTTCCTGCTCCAACGTCAGACCTGCTGTTGGTATCGTCCCATCCGGCAATGGCCGTCTCGGGGCATCCTTCTGCTTGATGTCCAGCTCTTCTTCCGATGGAGGGTCAGCAGCCGTAGTCTCGCCAGACCGATCATAGTGGTGATCCTGTTCCAGTCCTTCTTTGACACCCGTTGTCGGCCTATCAGCCGCTACAGTTTCCCGTCGGGGTATGGAGTCGCGTTGTGCGCCAGTCGCTCGTTCCGCCGCAGCCTTTGCATACGCAGGGGCTTCTTCGCTGAATCGCTGTGAGAGCGCAATGGCAGCCGCTGCTGTGAGGGTGACACGATCGGTCTGGTTCTTGACGGCTTTGGCCAACGTTGACGTCTTGGTGTATGCGTCCCATTGATTCGAGCGGAGCGCAATATGCTTCTGGGCGATGGACTTGGAGGCATTGAACAGCTTTGCGGCATCGACGATGCGCCTGCCAGCCATTTGGGATCGATGTCAAGGTTTAGTAGAATAAATCAATCATGACGGGTCGTGTCAGATCACAATGGTCGTTGGACGCAGGTCCCCCGAGCAGCCATCGAAATCTATGCGCGTCATCGCTTGAGACAGTTAAGCTTTAACCCCGGTGCACACGTGATTGGCTACTTCATACCCGAGGACAAGGGTATTAACTCTAGCGCAGGAACCTGTTCACTCTGCTGCAACCTGCGAACACACCAATCTTCAGTTGCCACCTGGAGAAGTGGTTTATAGGATTCTCCACATCCTGGGCGTGTCCACCGGATTGTCAATCGCACAGATCACCTGCGCCACTCCGACCAAAGGCCACTACCCAGATCTACATTGGTGATCCCCGCATCACAGCACGTCCGACTATCGGTTGAACACGCCTGATAATCTTGCTGCCACGTATTCCCAGGGAGTCGACAGACTAGCTTTTCCTTTGAGACAATTCATGGACATCGTTGAGACTCTTTTATCATCCTCTCCCGCGTAGAGGCATCTTCGTCTTGCACATGGTCTAATCGGCACCGTTCCAAACCGAAGAATTGCATATATAGCCCACGCTTAGATCATCCCTCAAGTGCATCCCCCCATCCAAGATGAAAGTCGCCTGTCTCCAATTCGCCCCGGAAGTGGGCAAAGTGCAATCCAACATCGAACGGGCAGAGAAACTTCTCCAAAGCACTCATATCCCCTCTGACCTCGACTGGCTCGTCCTCCCCGAACTCGCCTTCTCAGGCTACAACTTCCACTCTCTCGAGGAAATCCAACCGTTTCTGGAACCCACCACCTCGGGCGTATCAACGCAGTGGGCCATCCAAATCGCCAAACACTACTACTGTCACGTTACCGTGGGTTACCCGGAAATCGCCACAAACGAGACACCAAAGTCGCATTACAACAGCACAGTCACCGTCTCACCACAAGGAACGATACTACACAACTACCGAAAATCTTTTTTGTACTATACAGATGAGACATGGGCAAGTGAAGGACCAGGGTCCCGTCAGCACACCCTATCGGACCCCAACTCACCGGATCCCCCATTCTTCGTCGGCGAGCTGGGGACGTTGGGCAAAGTGACGCTGGGAATCTGCATGGACATTAATCCTTACAAATTCACATCACCGTGGTCGGACTACGAGTTTGCAAACACGGCGTTGGCGGCACAGTGTCCCATCATCTGCGTGAGCATGGCGTGGCTCTGCCATCTGACGCCTGCAGAACTGGCGCAGGATCCAGCGCAGCCGGATGTAGCAACCGTGGCGTATTGGGTCGAGCGATTCCAGCCGATTGTAGAGGCGCTCGGAGAGAAGCCTATATACATCATCTTGGCAAATCGGTGCGGGATGGAAAAGGGCGTATGTTTTGCGGGCAGCAGTGCGGTGATGAAGATTGAAAACGGGCTTGTCAGTCTGTATGAGACGGCGGGGAAGAGCGAGGAGAAGTGCTTGGTTGTGGATCTCGCAGAACGGCCCAAGTTTCAGGTCAGAAGTGCGCGATAGCAACGCCTCTAATGCTGGTGTTTGGTGACGGGAGTGTGAACTTGGATGGATATAGACTGGCGCGGAGGTGTACAGATACGTCAAGCATAGATGGTCCGCAGAGGGCATGCACATGTCGCATGGGCTTATGATGCAGTCTAACAGACGTAGAGAACACAGTGCCCCGGATGGCGAAGTATTCCCTGATTGGGACGGTCTTCATTCGAGTAAACGAACATCACAAAGTTCGGCATGGCAGTCTGTACTCAATCAACCAAGCAATTGCATTCATTCATGACAGCTGCTAGTCTAGACCATCATGATCCGATCCCGAAATATCATTTTCAGACCCAAAGCGCCATGAGTAAGAGAGTCTGGTGATGTAAACATGCCCACCAGTCCACTCCATGCATCCCTCATTGAAAAACGTTCCCCGCACAGAAGACTGATTGCTCGTTTCCCGCCATGTGCGCAATTCCCTGCTGTCGCTCGTTCAAAGTGGCTTGAAGTAATGAAGTGATGCAATCGAGAACCGGGAATCGAGAGAGGGATGGGGTATAGAGGCGAGTCGTTTAGATACCGAGACGGGTCTTGCGCCAGTGTCGTCGCTTGGCGTTGTACCTGTATCATCACATTAGCACGCAACTCTGATTCCGTATCATGCCATTTTCAGTCTACAGAACATGCGTAGGTTCCCAGAACTGGCGGCAGAGAGCCGTACCTGATGGTGTTGTTGGTCCTGAGGCGAATCCACTGGGGGATGGGGCGGTTCTGCTTCTGCGCACGCGCAAGCTTCTGCTTGGTGCGGAATGACTTGTGGGACTGCGAGATGTTAGACAAAGTCCAGCGCGAATGTTGCACTGTTGCCAGGATGGAAGCGTACCGGCATCGTGACTGCTTTGTCTGAGTAGTCGGATGTCGAGAGTTGGTGTCGTTGGGGTGAGATGAATTTCCGACCTGTGTGGGAAGTGCGCGGCGACAAGAGAGCGCTGCTAGCCGTTTGTGTACTAGCGTCTCCAGCACCCGAACATCAAGTCACAAACTTCCTATGCATGGTACTCTTAAATCTCACGGTCACAACACATGACAGGACGAGTGAATTATAAATTACCCTTTCAAATCTCAGGAATATATCTGCCATACATTTATGCAATTAACCATGTCTGTATTTGGGATTTGCCACGCGCACGCCATACTTAGCGGCACCAATATCGCTGCAATCCACTCGCAGCCTACTCACACAATCTCTTTTCTCACGCCTGTATATCTGTGTGACAAGTCTGCAAGAAAAAAAAAACCTAGACTCGCACATAAAATACAATCTCGCTCTTCTCTTTTGCATGTAGCCCCGGCGTTCCACCAGAATGTTTTCCACAATCTGGAATCAACAGCTAGATAAAAAACCACGTCTACTATACAGTCCAATCATATCTGACGTATTCGCTCTGCGCCCTTTGCAGAGACACATCCACACACCCAGCCCAACCTCCGTACTTCCCGCCTACCTAACCCAAGCCCAGACAAACAAGATGCAACACAATACGCTACATTAGGATCCCAAACAGGACAGATCAGGTCCCGCATACTGAACAATAAACAGTGCGTTGGGGTATGCATTAAGATGGGTGGGTAGGTAGGTAGGTAGGTAGATAGGCAAGTCAGTAGGTAGGTAGATAGGCAAGTCAGTAGGTAGGTAGATAGGCAAGTCAGTAGGTAGGTAGATAGGCAAGTCAGTAGGTAGGTAGATAGGCAAGTCAGTAGGTAGGTAGATAGGTAGGTAAATAGATAGGTACCTAAGTAAAAAGACAAGTATACCACAAGAATCCGAGATCGGTCAGGAAGACTACATCGCCTGGGGTGGTGGAAGAACCGGATATATTCAGAGAGTGTGAGAGAGAGACAGTGTATGCGCAGACGCACGCCTGATAAGACGGGTAAGTCGTGGTAGGAGAGAAGAAACAAACGACATCACCCTACCCACCCCGATCAGCAACAATAACAAATATATAAAAACGCCCAAAGTCATCAATCACAGAGACAAGAGACAAACGAAGCCATGATCATAGCATTACGCATCTGTATAGTTATATTCTCTATCATACATACACCCTTTAACCCCACGCCGCAATCGACGCGAACAGAGGGCAAAAAAGGCAAAGGAGCCAACAGGGCACCCCCTACCACACCAGCAACTAAACCGTCCAACCCCAGCACTATTCCCAACTCCAAGCAAACACCCAGCAACTTTTCGACAGAGAGGGAAGGGGGGGAGGTAAAGCCCTCGATCGGTCATTGAAGAAGCGCGAGGGGGGATATATCCAATCACACACGCGATGAAAGGATCACACGTTTGCGCAAAACGGCACAAATCCAACGACGCGGTAACGAGGGTGGAAATAGGGAGGAAAAAAAAGCAAGCAAGCAAGAATTGTGCAGCAAGACATGCAAGAAGGAAAAAAGAAATAGAGGGGACTCATATGCGTCATTCGTGACCCAGCCCAAGCTCCAAGAGAAACGAAAAAAACAAAAGTGGCAAAGAACAAAGCATGCAATGTGCAACGGACCATGCGAGACAATCGTATGACAAAATCCTGCCATAGCGTGGTCCGAGATATTAAAAAAAAACATGAACAAGAAAAACGAAAGAATAATGATCCTTCTAGACTGGCTGCTCCACCTGCGCCAGATGCTCGTTTTGTGTAAAAAGTCGTGATAATGATGCTGGAAGCTGACAGTAGCAAGTGAGATGCACTTAGTAGTGACTACCCGCCATGAGTTGCTGTGGTGGCGGCGCCATGGTCATACCAAGGCCAGGGCCAGGAATGTCATTGATGGACTGGGGGACGTGAGATAGTCCGGACAGGTAGTCGTTGCCAGACTCGGGCGAATCCTCTTCGAGTGAGTGGAGATTGTCCTCCTCACCCTCGAGATCGTCTTCCTGATAGTCGCTGAGCGGCTCGCCGTCAGGGCGGGTTTCATGTGTGCGACGATGTCTGCCACTCTGATTAGCCCTTTGCGTTTTTAGTCCAAGGTACGTGGATTCGACTTACTGGGCGAGATTGTCTGAGCGCGAAAAGGCCTTGTTGCACAGAGGGCAAACGTATGGCCGTTCTTGTGTGTGGGTGCGCACGTGTCTAAGCGCCCGGGGTCAGCGTCTATGCATCTCGACGGAAATAGCAGCAAGCCTCGGTCGGACCGTTGTACATGATTAAAAACAAATTGAGGGAAATTGTGAGCGCTTACCTCTTGAGATGTTCTAATCTTTTGAAGAGACGGCCGCATGTGGGGATTGGGCATGAGTGCGATTTCTGGGGGTATGGGCCAATCTCCATCATGGTGGCACTGCGAGCGCGTCGGTAGACAGGACCACCTGCAGTGCGTGCGACTGCGCTATGCTGGAGCGGGGTCTCGAATAATTCGCCATTCACCAGCGTGTTGAGATCGTGATGTATGACATTCGACTCTGGTTCCGGGCTTTCTTCGACGGTGTTGAGAGGGGTACCTTGTCTTGACTGGTTGACCATGGGCTGCTTTTCCGGCATGGCCGAAGGGTAGCTTGCACCGTTAGCGCTATTGGGAGAATTGTGGTTCGACTCGTCCACCTCGGTGAGAGGCGCAACCGAGTTCGACATGGATCGGCGCAGGTCACTTGGGCGGTGGACCTGGTGAGCAGCACCGCTGGCAGCTACTGCAGCGCTGATACCAGCCGAAAGTGATGAACGCCGCCTGCGTTGTTTGTAGGTTGGCGAGCCTTCGATGACCGAGTAGACGTTTCCAGGCGCGAATGGTCTGGAAACACCGGCGTAGCCTGGAGCCATCAAATTGGATGGCGGAAGATTCATCAAGGGGTTAAATGTGTTGGGGACTGGAAGATCGGGAATCGCGCTGTAGAGACCGGTGTCTTCGTTGGCAATGTACGCAGGCTCCGCACCAAGGCTAATTTGGTGTTGAGGAGGCGTCAGGGGCTCAAAAGACATGCCCCTCGTGCTGTAGTCTTCGTAGTGAGACGAGACGAATGACGGCGCAGGCGAGTACTCCATGTACGCTGGCATGGAGCTGTGTCGCTGGTGCACCTGCGATAGGGGAATCCCGTTACGGTCGTATTGCATGGATTGGCTGAATTCGCGCTCTCTGCTCTTCATGACCGAGTTCTGCATGGGTGGCATGGACATTTGTTGGTGGTATTGGGCCATTGGGTCCTCGTGGTGGTGCTGTTGTTGCTGGTGTTGCATGGGTTGAGAGATGGGCTGCGGCATGGGCTGTGGTACCGACACCATGGTCGGCGGAGGCATCGAGTCCATGCCTCGCATGTCAGGCGATGTCGTCTGGGAGAAGGATTGGACATTGTTGTTGAAGGACGAGGAGTTTGTTTGTTGGGCCTTTGTGAGCTGCTCGAAGAGGGATTGTGACGAATCGAATTCGAAGGAAAGGGCAGGCTCGCTGACTGCCATGGTGGTGGCCTCCTGGCCCATCTTCTCGCGCTTGAGATCGCGCTCCAAGGCATCGAGAAAGAGCCTGTCATGGGGTACGCTGTACCAGTAGAAGACCTTTTGCTTCTTTTGTGTGCGGATGCAGTTGTTCTTGTAGAGAAAGTCGAGGAACGCACTCTTTGGCTCCTCGAGCGAGGCGTCTGTTCCGGATTTCAAGTTGCGCAGGTCTGAGAAGATGCCCTCTTCAAACTTTTTGGAATTCTTCACAGGCCGGCCAAAGGCCTGGAATCTGAAGGAAAGGCAGCGTACAATGTCGGTTCCGGAGATGTGAAAGAGGTTGTTCCTGGTGGGGTTAGCCAGGGCTTGTCCCGTAGCGACGCGTTGTGCACCAAAAACTCACCATAGCACGCAGGAGACATATTCGCCCGTGGGTAGTAGAAATCTGCGAATGTACTGATCTGGTTGCCAGTCGACTGGCGCGGAGATGAGAAAGTACTTGACTGTAGGAGCACAGCGTTAGCCGAGGGCACAGACAAACCAAGGATCGGCTTGTAAAGCCATGGACGAGCGGCAGTAAAAGGCTATAGAGGAAACACATACGATTGTCGACTTGCTGGAGCGCAACGATGCTGTCTGGCGGGAGGCTTTGTTGAGCGTCCTGATCTAAGAGAAAGGTCTCGGGTGCGACAGAGCGCGCCTGAGGCGGCGGCATCTGGGCATGATGTGCGGAAGGATACATGGTGCGCCGCAACACGATCCTTTGGAAAAAAAAAGTGTTTGGGAGTTTGGTATTTCAGACGCGAGGCCGGATAGTCGGCTGGTCGAGCTGGGTAAGGGTAGTGCAACACCAACACTTTCCAATGTCGCTCGACGAGGACCGGCCAGGATCGAAAACGAGAAGGAGTGTCAGGCTACGATAAAAGGGTAGGATAATAAAACGCAAGCGTGTGAGGGAGGACAACAATAAAAAACGTGTGAGGAACCTGCCTCAGATAGCAGCTTCGAAAGTGACCGAGAAGGTAGGGTACGGGTTCTGGAGGGGGATACGAAACGCAATTCTGAGGGGGGCAGCGGCAGCTTAAGGTGTCGGAGAGCGTGTGAAACAGGAGTCTAGCCGTCTCACATTGATCTATTTCCGCTCGCCAGTCAGCGGCCTGGCCTGTGCAGACAAGAGCGGCCAATAATTGGCGCACGCCTGTGCAGCGACTGGGGGGGGGAGAGGAGGAGGAGGAGGAGGGGGAGTGGGAGTGGGAGAGAAGAGGCTAGAGGGGGTAGGGGTATTGTAAAGGGTAGGGGAGGGGAGGGGAGGGGAGAAAGGGTGGGCGAGTCGTGGGTGTGATGAATGGCGCTGGGAATGTGGGCTTAGGAGGCTAGAGCGAGAGCGAGGGCTGGCTAGAAGACGGGCTCGAGGATGGGCTGCAGGTAGGGCAAGTGCGAGCCCACTCAGTACATC